GGCGTAGCATTTTTTACGCGAGTCTCCCCAAATCCAGGCCGATAGGACCAGTTCTACGTTATTATTGCGCGGCCGTACCTTCATTAACAGCTCTCCTCTGCACATTAAGCCAGCCACAATGAATCTCATTTTGCTGCACAAAGAAGACCTTATTATGAAGGAAAATGAGGCGTTTGCTATCCTTAAAGGCCTCGAGCATACCCACTGCCAGCAAGTGCTCAAGCTTAAGGTGATATGTCTGCTTTTGCACTTATGTGTGTTCTCATTTCGCCTTGAAATGGCCTTTTACTTGCCTGCATGTCACCTTTCGCTTTTCCTGGCAATGTTTTTATTCATTATTCTGGCTGCCTTTACGTCTTATGGGGTTGTTGAAGGAAAAATCAAACTGTGTGAAGGCACACAACGCTTGTCTTGTGTTCGTTTATGGTTATTATGTTGAGCTACAAGCTTGTATTTTTGCTTCCATCTATTTGTGCCAAGTTATTGTCCTTTGGCTGTTCTCAACGCTCCCTTCTGCTTAATAATTTTCATGCATCTACTCCACTATCCTCTCGTTGGTCTCCGCATCTGTTTGTTTACGCAGTTTGCGCTGGTCTCTGTCTGCACTTCCTGTTCACTGAAACTCAAATAATGTTGCTTTTGCCTCTAAAGCACCTGATTTTTCCCCATTTTTGATTATTTTCTCTTTTTTGCCCAGACTTTATGGTGCCTTTCGTTTTCTCATCCGTCCTGTCATGTTTCGCGTTTCTTCTTTTCTTTGACCTATTCCTGTCCACTGTTTTTGTTTCTTAACTGCTCTCAAATAGCATTTGTGTTGATGCGTTGTAGGTGGGCAGTCGTGTTAAGGTTGGAGTGACAGGAGCAGCCACAGGAGAGGCCGAGGTGGTTGCCTGTAGGCCGCAGCAGACTGAACTGAAGCTCTTATCGAGAATTGACTTGTAAGCAAATAAGTCCCATGCCTTAGCCACAAATCCTAGGCGATAAATCGAGGGAGTTAACCCCCCGATTTTATTGTCCGGCTTTGCAGCTGAAGTAGCTGATTGATAGGCTTTGTACCATGAGCTGTTTAAGTTTCAGTTGCTGCTGAATGAACCACGAAATTGCTTTTTTCCTTTTCTTATTTGCTTAAAGGAGTATTGCGATGCCAGAGAGTACACACGATAATTCTCTGCATGCAAACTAATAATGAAATATCCACTGTAACTGTGTCCGTTCTCAATTATCGATATATTCGGCCTTTTCCAAATTTGCAAATCATTTTTTTTCCTTTTTGGGCATTTGCACAGAACTCCGGCAAAGGCTCCTTGGGAGCATGTGGAATTCGATCTTCTGCTTGCAATGCCCCGCCCTAAAGTGCTAGAGCGGATGCTGCAGGTAAGCTTAGTGCAGCTGCTGCTTCTAATGTTTGTAGCTGCTCCTACTTCATCTTTATCACATTCCTGGTTCGTTTCTGCAGCTTTCAACCTCAATTTGATTTTCTTCCCCTCTGTGCTGTCTGGATTACTTCGAAGTTGGGTTCGATCCATTCATCGTCCGTTTCCCATTCATCTGTATCCATGTCTTACAATAATTATCGCACTTTGGACTCTCTGGTTTTTGTCTCTGTCTTAATGCAGCTCTGTGCGGTCGTTGGGGTCCGCCGTGTCTTCCTGGTTTGTGCTGGTCGAACGGAAAAGGGATTTTTGTGTTCTTCACGCTTGGCTGTTGAGAATATACGAGAGCAATTCAAACTCGGTGAGTTGCTGCTCCTGCTGCTGCAGCAGCGGCGTGGTTTTTGATGCTTCTGGGTAGTACTTCCGCGTGTTTTTGTCGTTGTCCTGGCCAAAACAAGAGCGCATCGCGCCGGCTATCCGCAGATAAAGGCAAAAAAGTGGAAGAAACTCCACTAAGTTTTGCTGTAGCACCAGTGCTGGCAGTTGCAGGAGCAGCAACTCCAGCTCCGCGGAGGCCGCCGATGCAGCAGCGACGTAGAGTAGCGCCGCAGCTATCTTTCCTCCAAGCAGCACAGCTCGCAGCAGCAGCAACAGCTGGCAGCAGCAGGTGAAGCTGCATCTAACAAGTGTACGAGTGTGTGCCTTTGCACCCACAGGTTTGGAGCAGGGAATGTTGACACAGCCACCTGAGCTGCATGCATTTGCGTCATGGGAAGGTTTTATGGCAGCTTTAGCTGCTGCTGAAGAAGCAGCAGCCGCTCCAACAGCAGAAGCAGAAGCAGCAACACAGCTACCAACATCTGCTAAAGAACATTCTGTCTGGTTACACTACCTGTTGCCTCCGCTGCGGCTCGTCGCGCACCCCCACGCTGAGCCAACACTGCCTCAACTGTTAGTGAGTAATTGATGCTGGCTGCTTTTGCCGCTGCAGCAGCAAAAACAGCTTCCATCTGGCGGCTGCTTTTGATGCTGTAGGCCCTTGCGTTCCTTTGTAACCATTGTATTGCCAGTAGTAAGTGCATAATGATGAGTTTGCCTCTCAGAGGCAGTCTTTAAATGGACAGGCTAAGAGTGAAAATAATGTTTGTGGCATTCTCTGCAAGTCTCTTGCTGCAAACTTTACCGGTGGTAATTTAATCTTCTCAGCAAGCACTGTGGTACTGTCTGTTTTGGTAATACTTACTCCTTTCAGAAGCTGTGCTAGTAGCATTTTTATTATCAACTAGTGCATTAGTAGTCAAACTGAATTATTTCTTTGCCGTTTGCACTTTTGTGCAGTTGCGTCCATTTTCTAGCTCTACAAGTTCCAGCCAGTTGCAGCAGCAGCAGCAACAGCAACAGCAGCAAGAGCGAGCCAGCGTGCTGCTTGCTGTTGGTCCTGAGGGTGGCTGGATTCCGCCAGAGATGAACTTGCTGCAGCAGCAGCTGCGGTTCTTGCCCTTTCGTTTGACTGACAAAGTGCTCAAGTGCGAGACGGCGCTGACTGCTTGTCTTACGCAGCTCACCATGTGCTACGAAGACCCCATGTTCCTGCCGCTGCTGCGCTCTCCAGGTGAAGTCTACGCAGCAGCAGCAGCAGCTGCTGCTGCTGCTGCAGGAACAGCAAATGACGCAACAGCAGCTGCCGCAACAGGAAATGGAGAGGACCAGACAGAAACACAAAAGAGAGAGGCACACAAACGTCAAGGCGGACGAGAGGTGGTAAGGGCCATAGGTGGATTCCTCATGACCTTTCCACAACGCTATGAAACACGGAAAAATGCAGCGGAAAAGCAGCCTGAACGACAGCAGCAGCAGCGGCAGCAGCGAGAGCAGCAGGAGCAGCAGGAGCACGTTTAAGTACGGGTGGTTGCTCTAACTCATGAGAACTTGAACTTCAGAGTGGACGAAAATTCATGTTTAACTCATGCCAGCAACCTGCCGCTAATTTGAAGTGTTAAGTAAGAGCTTGAAGGGATGATGTCCACTCTTGCGCAAGTGGCCACGTATGGTGCACAAAATGCCCTTTCTTATTCTTTGGACGCTGCAAAGAGTATACATCCCTGTAGCTGCTGGAGCTGGAGTTGTAGCTGGCATTGTAGCTGCTGCAGCTAGAGTAGCTGCTGCAGCTGGAGTCCGCAGCACAGGACTTTGTCAAGATGCTGATAGATAGTTCTTTTCACGTTCTTCACTTTTTGTTTTGTTTGAAGCAACCTAAACGCCTTTTAATTTTGCTGCAATGCTGTAAGTGAAAGGGGGACCCATTTCATAACACTGGCTATGCCCAAGGGTACTAAAAAAAGTAAGACTAGTGGGGAAAATGAACGCAGGCAGGAGGCGCAGGAGGCGATAGTGGCAGAGATAACATTGGATTGAAGTGATGGGAGGAACAGAACTTTACTAGGGAATTTTGTATCAAGAAAAAACGCACTAAAGAAGCTGTCAAGCCAGGTACAGCAGAAATTAACTACGGTATTTTTTCAGGAAAAAACACTGAAGCTTTGCAGGTCCCAAGACATTGCAGCCCAACAGGGTCAACATACTAGCAATTAAAGAACTAAACGACCAAATTAAAGAATATGGTAAAGGAAGACGATTTGTTTGCGGCGAAAGGCAGCAGTTGATGAGGAAAGTGAAGAGGGCATGACAGCAAATGGTCTGATCCGTTAGTGCTGTCGTGTGCTGGGGAAACCCATTACAAGAAGTTCGAAAATATGGGAGACAATTTTTACATTAATAGAGTAGCAAATGCAAAGCAGCAAAACATTAAGTCCGGCGCTTGAACTAAGGAATGGACGACGAGGGTATCGATCCCTCTACCTCTCGCATGCTAAGCGAGCGCTCTACCATTTGAGCTAGACGCCCCCAGCAGCAGGCCCCGCTTGTAAGTCAAAAAAGGAGATAATAAATGGATGTCCTTTTAACATTCAAAATATATAAATTGGAATTCAACCAGAATGAAATTTGAGCGACCGCGAACACATGCCTCTGTGCTAGACACTTGAATTGTGTGGTCCAGCCCCGTAACCGTACTACCTTGGAAAAGTGTAAAGTTCAACTTCCTGTGCAGATCTAGTAAATTAGCAACTATTAAAGCTCACAATTGCTACATATGGCTTGAGGCTTTTGCCTGAGCTTCCATTTGGTCGTGCCACCCCGCGGGGCAGGTGGTGTATGCCAGTGTTTGCATGCTGCTGTTCATTTGTTGGGTGTTTTTGTCTTGCATGCATTATTGAAATCTGTGTCCACTTCAATTCTCTTGAACCAGAAATGGTCTGCTTCTCGCGCCTCTCAACGCTGCAGGATTTGCAGAGTATTTCGTGAGAACCGGTTTCTACTTTTGTCCTACAACTGCAGCAAACCAAGTGTCTATACAGTGCACACTCTCGGGCTGCCAGCCATATAAAAAAACACAAAAATTACACATGGCAAAATGCCTGTTGCTGCACCAAGAGCTGCAGCGCCAAAATTGTAGCTGTTACTCTTGCAACGAGAGCTGCGGCAGCAGCTCCTGCAGTGCTGCTGGAGCTGATGAAGTGGCCGGCTAGACCACGACAAATGTGGCGCACATATTATCCTAATTTGGATTTATTCGCATTGGCTTTCGTGTTTCTCCTGAGGCGGCTGCAGCATTAGCTGTTGCTGCTGCTGCAGCGCGTCACCCTCTCTCTTGAGGTTTGGGAAATGCAGCAGGTCTTCATCGGATTCCTCCTGCGATTCGTACTGCTGCTGCTCTGTGCTGCTGTTGCTGCTCCACAGGCGTTCTACGCTGCATACAGCAAAACACTGCAGCAGCTTCTCGTGTCCACATCTCAGCAGCAGCACAAGACCCCTAACAGCATCCAGAGAAAGGCAGCAACTTGCTTGCCAGAAGCATAAGAAGCAGCAGCAGCAAAGGCAGATGCAGCAGCCCCAGAAGCAGCAAAACGCACTCATAGAACTCCCTGGCAGCAGCTGTCATGAGGTGTACAGACACTGGACCGAGACAAGCCACAAACCACTCGCTGCTGCTGCTGCTTGTCCGCGACGTGTTTCGGCGTGTGCTGCCGCTGCTGCAGCTGCAGCTGTCGGATACTTCGGGAATCTCCAGAGAGCTTATGAGCGACCGCAGCAGTCGTGAGACCCTCCTGCAGCAGCAGCAGCAGCAGCACAAAAGTTCCTAAAGACTGAATAGAAAGGCAGTGCTACGAAAGAAAGCCATTCTCAGCAAAAGAAGCAAAACTTGACTGTAGAGCAGCAAGATGCTAACGTGCAGTCCATACGCGCTGCAGCAGCTTCTGCAGCAACTTCAGCAGCACAGGCAGCAGCTTGAAGCTGCCGCAACAACAGCAGCAAACCTGCAATGAGCAGCCGTCCCGCATGTCCCAATAAAGGCAACAAGCCCCAAGTCTTTTCGCTGCAGAGCCTCCAGATTCAGACAGACCACGTCCGTGACGCCTTCCTGTAGCATCAGCAGCATCAGCAGCAGCAGCAGCAGCAGCAGATACCAGCAGTAGCCTCAATCACAATAAAGAGATAACTGAAACGGAAACGCTATACATGGGCGCGAGGTGCTACGAAGGCTTGGTGGCGGCACTTGTTGCAGTTCTTGTATTGTGTTTGTTTTGCTGCTGCTGTTGCTGCTGTTGCTGTTGCTGTTGCTGCTACTGTTATTGCTGCCACTGTTTCTCACCTGAGCCAACAGAGACTTGAACTCATCTAAAGACGGATACTGGCCTGTGCAAAACTCCAAGTCCCTGACACAAGGACACACAGTGCAGCAAGCTGCTGCTGTTCAGGTGCCTCATCTGCTGCTGCAAGTGCTGCTGCAAGTGCTGCTGCGATTGCTGCTGCAAGTGCTGCTGCGAGTGCTGCTGCGAATGTTGCTGCTGACTGCGAGGCTGCCGCTGCTTGTGCTGCTTGCGGTGCACAAGTTCAATTGTCTCGCTAGGTCTAGCAGGCTTACACTGGCGGCACAGCAGCAGCAGCAGCAGCAGATCCTGCTGCTGCAGACCCTGCTGCAGGGTGAACTGGCCAGCGAAAGCCTTTGGGAGGTTTGTGAACAGGATTGAAGAACGCTTTCCAGTCCTCTTCCAGTGTTTGTGCTGCATCATCCCATTCTTCATCTTCATCAGCAGCAGAAGCCGCAGCTCCCGGAGCAGCAGCAGCACTTGCTGCTGCTGCTGCTGCTGCGTGCTTCCCCCGTAGATACTGCTCTGCACGCTGCAGCAGCAGATCCCTGTTGTCTCTGTAAAACCTTTGGGCTGGAGTAAGGGCAGCATCATCATCCCCATTCCAAATAAACTCGGGGGCGCCATCACCTGCTGCTGCTGGTGCTGCTGCTGCTGTTGCTGCTGCTGCAGATGCTGCTGCTGTTCCTGGCGGTCCTGCTGCTGCAGCGATGTGGGGAGGCAGCAGCTGCTCGAAGGACTGCTGCAGAATGCCTCGCAGCCCCCCTTCGGCCGACTCCGCCGCAGACACACAGTTAAGGAAGCCCTTCTGCCGCTCAGCAGCTGCAGCAGCTGCTGCTGCTTCTGCATCGGCCTCTGCTGCAGCAAACATCTCTTGCTGCTCTTTGGAGAGCACAACCTCTGCACGCACATATAATGGAGGATCACCTCCAGCATCACCGCCATACGGCGCGTCACCTTCAGATTCCATATCACTGCTGTTGCTGCTAGGAATGCTGCTGCTGCTGCTGCTGTTGTGGCTGCTGCTGCTGCTGTGGCTGCTGCTGCTGCTGTGGCCGCTCTCCTCAAGGTCGTGGTCCAAAACGTCGTCACTCCCTAGGCTGTCTCTGCTGCTCCTCGCTCCCAGTTTTCTGCCGGCACCGCGAAGTCTACCGTAACTTTTGCTGCTGTTGCTGGTTTTGCTGCTGCTGCTGCTGCTGCTGCTGCTGCTGCTGTAGATGATACTGGGACTCTTCTCGGCCGCCTCCTCAGCCGCCGCAACCTCCTCAAAAACACGCTTCAGCCTATCACTGTCCCTTAAAACAGAGTAGCAGCGCCATGTCCCCGCTCTCCTGCGTGTGCTGCAGCAGCAGCAGCAGCAGCAAACTCGGAGAGCGGCTACATTGCTGCCTGTGTTGCGGCTGCTCAGGCCTGCTGCTGCTGCAGCAATGCTGTGTTGGCCATGTCTTTGCGCAAGGGCGAGTTGACTCCTAATGTACACATGGGGAACACCCCTAGCAGTAGCAGCAGCCGCAACAGCAGCAGCAACTGCTGCTTTGGATCCACTGCACTGCATCATACGAGGAAGGATCAGCAGTCCATACGCTCTGTAGGCGGTCTCGCCCTTTTCCCCTGTTTCTTTTTCCTCCTTTTTAGAAAGAAGAGCTGTTTAATTAGTGTTTACTACTCTGTCGATGTAGCTGCTGCTCCCGCTGCAGCAGTGTTGCTGCTGCAGCTGCTGCCCAACAGGCTCGGCAACATAGACAGGGAAAATGCTGTTTTGTAACCTTCACACACATTATTAAGCACTAGTTCTAGAGCTAACACTTTTATCAACAGCAGCAGCAGCAGCAGCAGCAGCAGCAGCTTGCATGCGCCCAGGGGCGCAGCCCCGTGAGGGCAGCAAACTCCGAGTAGAGGCCAACATTTTTATTTTAAAAATCGAAATTTAATGCAAACGTCCGCCGCGTTTCACGGCGGCTTCGTTTGCTTTTTTGTGCTGCTGCTGCTGCAGCACTTTGCTGCAACGCATGCAGCTGCAGCTGCCACACGTACAGCTTTTCGAGTACGCAGCAGCAACAGGACAGGAGGAGCTGCATGTACCACGGCTGCAGTAAGGGTACAAGCAGCGGCAGCAGCAGGCGCGCCCGTAACAGCAGCAACAGCAGCAGGAGCAACAGTGGCAGCTGCAGCAGCAGCAGCAGCAGCAGTACCAAAAGCAAGAAGCGGCTGGTGCTGCAGTCGGAGTACACGCCGAGATGTTGGGGCCCCCGCTGCGCAGCACTGGTTTCTGGAGGGGCGCCTCGGGCGCCCCTGCAGCAGCAGCAGCAACTGGGACACCAGCAGCAGCACGGACTGTCTCTGCTGTTGCTGCTGCTGCAGTCAGGCCCCGAGTGCAGCAGATAAAGCACGAGGTAATTTATGTGGCCAATCCCAAGACCTTCATTTGCAGTGTATGCACACTTCCCATGGCCCAGACCTGCAGAACCGTGAGCTCCAAACCCTAAACCCTAGATTCTCATGCTCACCCAAACTTTAAACCCTAAACCCTAAACCCTAGGCTACAACAGTTATTGGCCACACTATGAGCCGCAGTAAAAGCCGCAGCAGCGGCTGCAGCAGCAGCAACTGCTGCTGCTGCAGCGACGAAACGGCGTCAAGTAAGTAGCCCGCGAGAGCCTAGGGTTTAGGGTTTAGTTTTTGTTTGCTTCTGCAGCTTCCTTGCCTTCACTTGGCATGCGGGTCTTGCACTGAGCAAATGCTGTCCACAGGGCAGTGCCGCGTGTACGGTCAAGCTGCTGCTGCTGCTGCTGTTGCTGCTGTTGTTGCTGTTGCTGCTGTTGCTGCTGATGCTGCGTCGCTTGTTTTGTTTTATTGTTTGCTGCTGTCCAGCGGCGTGGTGCCGGTCTCCCTTTCGCTGCAGCCATTCTGCATGCGCTTACGTGCTGCTGCTGCTGCTACTGCTGCTGCTGGTGTTGCTGCAGGTGCAGTGGCCGTCTGCAGGGGGCCGAAGAGATAGGGCCTTCTGTGTCGCTGTACACCTGCAGCAGCAGCGGCTGCTGCTGCTGCTTCCTTTCTGAAGCCTCGCTGCAGTACCATGAGCGGCAGCACGGACTGGAGAAGCAGCTGGCCTTTATTGACGCTGCAGCAGCTGCTGCAGCAGCTGACGCACCAGCAGCAGCAGACGCAGATGCCTTCATTGTTGCACTTGAGGAGCAGGGGCAGCTCACGCCAGCTCAGGAGCAGCAAGAGCCTTTTGCTGCTGCGTCTGCCGCAACAGATCAGCAGCAGCAGCAGCAGCAGCAGTCGCAGCCGATGCTTTCACCGCCCACGGCGCAGCAGCAACCGCAGCAGCTGAATGCTTGGCAGCAGCAGCCGCAGCAACACCATGTGCAGCACCAAACAACGAAGCAAGTGCAGCAGCCACAGCAGCAGTTGCTGCCCCAGCCGCAGCAGCAGCCGCAAGGGCAGGAGGTGCAGCATCAGGCCACACCGCAACAGCAGCAGTATCTAGAGAACCAGCAGCAGCAAATGCAGCAGCAGCAGCAGCAACAGCAGCAGCATTTGCTGCACCAGCAACAACTAGTGCAGCAGCAGACGAATCAGCAGGCACACCAGCAGCAGCCGCTGCAGCAGGTGGGGCAGCCGCCCGCAGCACCCTGGGCTGCAGCTGCGCCAGCTCACGTTGCTGCTGCTCCCGTCCCTGCAACTTCTGTTGCTGCAGCACCCCTTGCTCCTGCTGCTGCTGCTGCTGCACCTGCCCCCGTGCAGCCTGCAGCGGCTACAGTGCGTACACCGCTGCAGCTACAGCAGTCCGTCAGTCAGCAGCAGCAGAAGCTGAAGCAGCAGCAGCAGCTTTTGCTGCAGCAGCAGCAGCAGCAGCAGCAAGATGCAGAGGACGACAACCTAGACGACTTCCTGTAGGCTTCCGCTGGAGCCCTTTGCTTCCTTTGGCAGCTTCTCCATTATTTTTATTTTTGTAGTTTTTCTTTTTACAATTAGTGCTGCTGCTATAGGGGCAGCAAAATGTATATATATATATATACATGTATATATATGTGAGGCGCACCAATTGTAGCCGCATAGAAAGAAAAAGCAGGCAGGCAGCTGGGAAGCAGAAAGCAGCAGCAGTGGCATTGGCAGCAGCAGCGTAGACACAACAGCAGACACAACAGCCAGCTGACAGCCGCAGCAGCAGCAGCAGGAAAGGCGAAGGAAGCCCATATATCTTGTAAGCAGTGCCTAATCACCAGTGCGTAGAAGGGAATGTTGGAGCAAACATGAATTCGCAGCAGCAGCAGCAGCTGCTGCTGCTGCCGCTACTACTGCCGCAAACGCAGAAGCAGAAGCGCCTGCTGCTTGCTTCTGTTGCTGCCGCTACTCCCGCGTCTTAGCTAAAGCCAGCAGTGCTTCAGCAGTGGCGGCATTTGCTGCCGTGGGCGCTGGACGCAGCAGAGCAGCGGCTGCAGCAGCAATGCAGCAGCAGCAGCGTGTCTTGACAGGATTTGCTCACAAATCCACATCGACAGCTGATCCGCTAGATGCTGCTGCTGCTGCTGCTGCGTCCTCTTGCTGCTGCTGCTGCCGCTGCTTGACCAGCCGCAAACGCTGGAGCACCTCCTCTTCGCTCAGGGGGTGGGTAGGATCTGGCAGCAAAGACGGCAGCGGGGGAGCAGCCCGCAGTTCCCTGCAGGAGCGAAGCGCACACAATTGCTGTTCCTGCTGCTGCTGCTGCTGCTTTCCAGCAGTATCGAGGCCCGCAAAGGAGTGAGAGCAGCAGCAAGCTCAGCAGCTTCCAGCAGCAACTTGAGCAGCAGGAATGAGGCTGCTGCAGCTCCAGCGGCGGCAGGAACGGCAGTGAAGTAGCAGCAGCACCACAGCGGCAGCAACCTCAGCAGCAGCCGCAGCAACCTCAGAAGCAGCAGCAGCTCACTTCAGAAATTTCAATTTGTCTTCTTTGTCTTCAAGGCCGACCCAATCAAACCACCGCACGCGACGAATATCCCATCCGAGATCACTCAGCACTCTGAAAAAATTAAAGAGGGAAGAATAAAATAGTGAATGAAAATCCAAATTGGCAAGACATTGGCAAACAAATCCTTAATAAAACATTGAAGCCAGGATCACTCGCGCTAGCAGCAGCAGCAGCCCAAGGAGCACCGGAGGCAGCTGCATGCGCAGCACAGCAAGCCTTGACCAGCACATTATTATCAGCAGCAGCAGCAAGATATGCAACAGCAGCAAACCCCCTAGCTGCAACAAAGTCTGCAGCAGCAGCAGCAGCAGCTACCTATGTTGCAGCTTCACAGGCTCTGTGTACTGTGTGGTTGAAGTGTAGAAGGCAGCAGGACCATCTACAAAAATGCAGCGCCTCTTGTCCTCCGCCTCTCCAATATCAATCCAGAAGCAACCCCAACTGAAGCAGCAGCAGCAAGAAGACGAAACACGCGATCAAACGCAGCAGCAGCAGCAGCAGCAGCAACACAACAGCAGTAGCCACTGCAGAAGCAGCAACAACGCAACTGCAGCAACCCCTGCACCAGCAGCAATAACGCAACGGCAGCAATAACTGCAGCAGACAGTAGCAATCACTGCAGCAGCAGCAACGCAACAGATGCAACAACTGCAGCAGCAGACGCAATGCGAAGCAGCAAACAACACAGCAGCACCAACTGACTGAAACGTGTTGCGGTGAGCAACGCCGAGAGCAGCAAGACAGTCCGAAACCTCCCAATGGAAGGGCGAAGGGCGACGCACAGGGTAGGGAATACGGCGCAAGCTGCAGCAGCAACAGCAAATGCAGCAGCAGCATTGCAAGAAGCAGCAGCAGCGACGCATGCAACAGCAGCAGCAACCGCAAGTGCTGCTGCAGCCGCTGCCGCGTCACTTCTACAGCTGAAGCCGTAAGCTGCTCACCCCCAAGCCAAGTAAGTCCCCGCGGCTAAATGTCAAACCCTCAGCCCCGAACTCCAGACCCCGAACCCCAAACCCTGAAGCCCAAACCCTAAACCCTGTATCCTAAACCCTAGACCTGCCTCAGTCTGGCGTAGAACTGCCGGACTTTGCGAGGAAGAGCTGCCCAAGTCTGCGGCTCCAGCACTCGAACAGCAACAGCTGTCTGCAGTGCCTTCTCTAAGTGCGTAGGACGAGCGCATATAAACACCCTGCAGCAGCACCAGCAGCAACAGCAGCGTCAGCAGCAGCAGCGGAATGAATGCGACAGCAATGGAAGCGCAACTAACATGATATAGCCGTAGCTGCTGCAGCACTGCCAAGCGCATCGGTGGGGGACATGACTAGCATGTCCAGAAGCAAAAACGGTGCAGCAGCGGCAGCAGAAGTAATGGTAACAGCAGTAGCAGCGGCAGAAGCAGCAGCAGTACTGCACACTAAAACTTTGCTCGAAAGCCAATAGAGGCCTTGAGGCTTGATTAGTGAACAAAAAAGCAGCTGTGGTGGCAAGCCTTAAACCCTCAAACCTAATCCCTAGGGGCCTCTAAACCCTACTTTGAAAATCTTTCCATGACAAACATTTTCAGGGGCTGCGTGTACAGCCCAATCGCTGCAACAGGATGCATGCAGCCCCGAAACTGCAGCGAGGGAGCTTCTTTGAGTGCATGCAGGAGCACTTCGCTGAGGCGCTCTCTAAGAGATGGGGGGCAGACTCCCTGAACAAACAAAAGGGATAGGACAAAGCTGCTGCTGCTGCTGCTGCTGCTCGGTACTGCTGGGTGCTGCTGCGTTTGCTGCAGAGAATGGAGCAAGGGCAATAATTGCTGCTCCAGCTAAGACAGCAGATAGAAATTTGAGCACATTTAGGCAGCAGCAAGTGATAGCTACAGCAGCAGAACCAAATGATATAATAACAGAGAGTTGCTGCAGCTAAAAAGAAAGAAAAAAGAACAAAAAGACGAGAGACACCGAGATAAAAAGACAAAAATAGGAACAAAAGGAAGAAAAAGACCAAAACGACAAAAAAAGAAATGAGAAAATCAAGACGGAAAGCGAGAAGAAACCAAAGAAGCAACAGTAAGGAGAGAAACTCATTAAGAAAAAGAAAAAGAAAGACGCAAAAATAGTAAATGATAAGCTGCGGAAAACAGACTCCAGAAAATTCAACAAATGGATATCTTTGTGAAAAATAAGTGGCCTCAGAAAGAAATTCCAAAAAGAACCAAACCGATCAAACAAAATAATTAAATGGCAAATAAATGCCGCACTTAGAGGAGAAAAAGAAAATGGGAACGAAGAAAAAACTCACCAACTTTGCCAGACCAACTGCAACTTTTATGAGATCTCCTGGCCTCATGAGCGGGGCCTTTAGCACTGCCTCCTGTCCCACCTGTACGTACACCCAGACGCACAAAAGCGCCTTAAGAACTGTACGCGAAATTAAATAAAAATCCATCAAATATCAAATTCAGATTTGTGAAATTCGAATTTGTTAAATGCAAATTCAAAAGTAGGCCGAGCAGGATTCGAACCCACGACCACCCGGTCCGTAGCCGGGCATTCTATCCAACTGAACTATCGGCCTGGAGTGACCCCAGACCCTAAACCCTAATATCCAAACCCTCGAGCCTCAACCCTCGAAGTCAAACCCCAAACCCTAAACCCTAAACCCTCAAAGCCGACCCCAAAGTCCCAAACCCATGCCCCGAACGCACGTTTCGCAAGCCCAGTCATTGTTCCCCGTAGCCCAGCCCCAAACCCTAAACCCTAAACCCTAAACCCTGCCCCAAACCCTCACCTGTGTCAGCGCATCCGCGTGCCTAATGTTGACTCTGCTGAGGGCCCAGGGCACAGTCATCAGCGCGTGGGAGTTGAAGTCATCGAGATAGTGCTGCAGGACCCTGCAGCAGCTGCAGCTGCAGCGATGGCAGCTGCAGCTGCAGCAGCGGCAGCCGCAGCAACAGCTCTAGCGAGCAGCTGCAGCACTCGGCAAGGCTCGACAAGTTTTGTGGAAAAGGCGAAGGCAGGCGCTGTTGTGCTTCCTGCTGCTGCAGTTGCTGCTGAGCCTGCTGCTGCTGTGGGCGCTGCAGCAGCAGCTGCAGTCAGAATGTTGGCTTACAGGCAAGCCCGCGGCTGGCCCAGGGACATGAGGCTCTGCTGCTGTTATTGCATTTGCTGCTTCCGCTGCTGCTGTTTTTTCCGCTTTTGTTGTTGCGGCTGCTAGTGTGCTCCTGGGAGTGCAGCAGCAGCAGCAGCAGCAGCCGCTGCTGCCGCCGTTGGTGCTGCTGCAGCAAGGAATTGTGAAGCGGGAAGACAGGTGCCGTCGTAGCTGCTGATGCGCCTGCAGAGAGCCAGTATTTGAAGATCTAAGGTTTAGGATTTAGGGTTTAGGGTTTGCGGCTAGGAGTTCCGGGAGCAGCGTCAAGTTTCCTGTGTATGGCTGCGCCGATTCTGTTCGGGGCTTGCTGTTCAGCACAACGTTAATGTAATCCATCAAGAAACTGAAATAATGTAAAAAATAACAATTTTTGTACATAATTTACAATGTGCTTTATTTACTGCATGCAGACTGCTAAGCCTCGCGAGCAAGGCACAGGCAACTTTGGGGCTGGGGCCCCGGCCCCCAGTAGAAACGCTAGAAATATGTCTCGATCATAAGTAGAAATGACTTTGTTTTGGTTTATTTTTGCTTTTGCTAATTAATTTCAACGAGAGAAAATAAAACAAGTGGATTTGGGTGGCTCTTTCCCTAGCCTTAGTGTTCAAGCTGCAATTCGTTTCTGATAGTCAGTACCGAAATGTTCCAGGGGCTCCCGCTACTCTTGCCTAGCCAGCTATTTAAAAAATATCGTAAAGGGAAAATAGGTATTAATGCTTTTATGGAGCTGCTTTGGTGGCTTTTTGTTTATTGCTGTGTTGTGGCCAAGCCTCACATTTCATATTTCTGACCACAAGTTGTAGTGCAAATGAAGGATTCAACTGCGTAAACAAATGCATGTGAACGTTCGTACAAAAATTATGCTGCATATATACGCTTTACACAAATTCATGCACAGTCTTTCATTCAAGGTACGTATACCAATAGATATATCTTTCTAGCTTTTGAATTTCTCTGTGTGTGTTTCATTTCCACGTACGTGAATATATGCATACCACATGCAAAAGCCATATAAACTTAGTTTATACATATACTAGATTTGCTTATTACAAATATATATGTGCTTTTATGCTTGAAATTCATGAATTATAAATATATGTGCACAAGCTTGGCGTGTGCGTATAGGCTTGCAAACACACGCGCATTTCATGTATTGCTGCGAACACAGACTCCAAGCAAACAAATAAACGTATTTTTAAATTGCAATAAAAAGACGTACTCATAATTAATGGCACTTATTACTCAACAGTGCTTTCTAGTTTTTGTAGTTGGAGAGGGAAGAAAGCGCCACGCACCCTTGCTAACAGCGTTGGTTCGTCTGCCATTTTTATTGCTTTTCTTAAATTTTGAAGCTATGAAAAGTTTTTGACATCTTAGATTCGTCAAGCTATCAAATTATACAGCATCTATCACACAATGTTACAAACATGATGGTGAGACAATAATTTATGCTGTTCGTGAATGGGAGAAAGATTCGAGCGGCGAAGAAGGCAAGTTTCATTTGAAGAGTCTGCTTTTTTGCCTTTAGCAATCACGTACGAGTTCAGCCTTTTTAGAAAGGTCAAAAGCGTTGGTTTTGCTTGCTGAATGCACAAACGTGGACAAGATTCTTTGAATTGATATTGAAACAGCTCGAATGAACATGTCCAATTGTGCGCTACTGAGAAGTGGCAAGTGACTCAACAGCTCCAATCAAAACAACATAGATGGTCCTATATGGCAATAAACATGAAATCCAATGCTGGACTTTCCGAATTTGGCTGGTGAAGGAAGGAAAAGAAAGAAGGTGAAATGAGGGAATTCATAAGTTTGGAAAAGAAAAAGGAATCAAACAAACTGAAGGGAACAGAAAAGCAAACGAGACATCCACTGAGCACTTAAAGCAAGGCGCACAAAGATAGGATAACTAGAGAAGCGGGGTGCATTCAACTTGTAGTTTTTTTCAGACTGGAGCCCGAAAAAACATTATCTTTTTTAATCTGCATAAGTTATTTCGATTTAATTGACCTTAACCTTGTTGTGCTGCCGCAAACTTCACAAAAAGCTTCAGAGCTTCCACAACTTCCGAAAATGCTACAGTATTGCAGAATTTTTATTGACGGAGAGTGGGGGATTAACGACAGCAGCAGCAAAGAGCTCTCGGATCGAAATTCAAGTCTTTGCGGAATTCAGTTTGCTGCAGCAAATTAGGCGAAGGTCCGAAGCAAAAGTTTATGAGTTAGACTTCTAGACTTTTAGGCTGCATGTCTTATATTGCTGCGAAGACATTCCACAGCATATTGCACTCAGCTCCTTTGTCAATCTTCTAATTCTGTTTCTTTTTGAATTTTTCTGAGTGCCTAATGGTCCTATTTCTTTCATTTTTTTCTCATTTTTCCTGAGAGGGAACCATCAAATGCTCTTACATGTTTTTCTTATTGATTTTTGCGATTTAAAAAGAAGCTGCCATCATTCATTTGCTGTGCTGATTCTTCCCACTGGGCTGTTGCTGCCGCTTCCCCGTTTAAGCTTCTGCTTTACTGTTTTTTGCGTTCCTTCCTTTTTTCTGGCTGCTGCTTCTGTCATCTTGTTTGTTTGCCTCTCACCCCTCCCGCATTCTATTCCTGCTGTGTATTTTCAGCTGCTACTGCTGCTACTGCTGCCGTTGCTGTTACTGTTGCTACTGCCACTGCTGCTACTGCTGCTGCCGCTACTGCCGATGCTACTGTTGCAGCCGCTACTGTCGCCACTGCTGCTACTGCTGCTGCTGTTGCTACTGCTGCTGCTGGTAAGACTAAGGCTAAGACTCCCTAATAAGTTGGAAAATTAAGAGTTTGTCACTGTGGTGTGGGGGTCACTTCAGGCCGGTAGTTCAGTTGGATAGAATGCCCGGCTACGGACCGGGTGGTCGTGGGTTCGAATCCTGCCCGGCCTACTTTTGCCTTTTGAAGCTGAATTAAATCAACTAAATCAATCGTCTTATCTTGATTTTTGGGCTTTTAACAAATTAAATCAATTCCTTCATTTGGGGATAAGTTTGTGGAAGCGTGGAGTCCTAAAGGCGTTGAGTCAGCAGCAACTCAGCAGTGCGCTTTGCTGCTGCGCATTTATTTCTTTCAGCAAAACGAACACAAAGAAGAAGCAGCAAAAATGAATTTAAAAAGACTTATCATAAAGTCTAGCCTGAAATGCCTTAGGCACTCAGGCACGCTTCTCCTTAAGCCAGCTTGACAGCTAGCTAGCTAGCTAGCAAGCTGCTAGCCAGCTAACTAACCAGCGGCTTTCACCACTTCGTACAGTCATCTCAAGGCTAGGACGTCCACATCTCCACACGGCGAGGGAGTGGAGTAAAATGCTTTGAGTTGCTGCTTGCCGTGCGGTTATGAAAGCACCAGAGTGTGGGGCCCCACACTTTGCTCACGCTCCTACACTTAAGCTGCTGCCACGTCGGCGGTCTCCAGGCCGATAGTTCAGTTGGATAGAATGCCCGGCTACGGACCGGGTGGTCGTGGGTTCGAATCCTGCTCGGCCTACTTTGAATTTTCCATTTTAAAAACTCTTGATGAACTCTAGGCTTCCTGGAATGTCGAAGGGCCCCAGTGCCTCTAAGTATCTTCTTTCCTGCTGCAGCACGAGAGGAAGCTGCAGCAATTTGCACGAAAAGAAAAGTTCGCTAGTTCTGCCTAGGGCTGCATGCGGTCCATTGGACTGCGCCGGTGCTGTAGATGGCGAACCAGTTTCAGGACTTGAGCCATCGTTGGGAAGTGTGTTACTTTTGAAATTACAAAACTTCAGAAAATAAACTAAATGCCAATCAATTTGATTTAAGTCGAATTGAAAGTAAATAGGCCGAGCAGGATTCGAACCCACGACCACCCGGTCCGTAGCCGGGCATTCTATCCAACTGAACTATCGGCCTGGGGAGTGGACGTGCTGCTGAGCGCCAGACGCTGGGCAGCTTGCAACTTTTCCTTGGAATTGTGAAATTTCTCCCCTTTAACTTCTTTAAAAATAGTATTTATTACTTTTTAATTGCGGTTTGAAGCTACTTATTTAACTGCTAGGCGAATACACAGCTCTGCATGCTGCAGAGCCACAGGCCACCAGTATCGACTCGGGAAGGGGGGCCCCACAGCAGTGACCTTGGGGGCATTCAAGTGGCCACTTTAGTCCAAATTTAAATCTAATTGGCAATTTCGTTTATCTGCAGAGGCACAGGCCTCAAATTTGGGACCATCTGGGGCCCCCTGCCTCCTCGGGGGCCCCCAAACTACCCAGATCATCCAGCCCCCATGATGCGCTCCTGTTGAAGCCCCTACACCACAACTTGACCACTGGTCAGTACATCACAGGGGCCCACGGGTAGCCTCAACGGATGCGGCTGCTCTGCGGGGGCCCTTCTGGGGGCCCCCGGCCTCCCCGTCTCCGCGGATCGTTCTTGCTGCACAGCAGAGCAGCAGTAGCAGCAAAGACATTCCTGCAACGGCAGCAGCAGCCTCCGCAGCAGCCTAACCAGCTGCAGCAGCGGCGCCTTGCCCTGCCATTTGCTGGCTTTACAACCCACACCGCAGCAGCAGCAGCAGCTGCAGCAGCACCAGCAGCACCAGCAGACTCGCTTTCACAGCAAAATAGGCCCCCCGTGAGGCTGCCACCTTATGTTCAGCAGCTCACATTGGGCTCTTGGACTTTTTTCTTTTATCCTGTCCCTCAATACCTCAAATCCATAGAAGGGGCCCTTGTCGGGGGCCCCCATGGGGCCCTGCGGGGCCCCTTGGGGGCCCCGCGGGGGGGCCCCCAAGGGACCTTGCAGGGGGGCCCCCAGGGGGGCCCCGAAGGACTTCCTCAAGAAGGTCCAAGTGCCTGGGAGGGGGCTGTGCTTGTTGCTGAAATGCAGCCTAGGCTGCTGTGCTTGGAGTGCTGCAGCAGCAGACTGCAGCAGCTAGCAGCAGCAGCAGCAGCAGCAACAGCAGCAGCAGCGGCAAGGGGGTCTTCCCTTGAAGCGGAGATACGGAAGCAGCAGAGGCAACTCGCCAAGGGACTCTCGCTCCTCACCTCCTTTGATGGCGGTAGCCACACCCTAAACCCTAAACCCTAAACTCTAAACCCTAAACCCTAGCCAGCAGACACCGCGACCTGCCGCTGCGGGTGCCCCTAGAGTTTCCTAGACCCTCTTCTTGCCCTTAATGGCCCCCCATTTGTTTTGAATTTCTTTGATTTTTAAATTTACTTTTTGCTGCTCTTTTGCTGCTTCTGTTTGCTCAGGTTTGCTGCACGCAGCGCTGCTGCCAGTTGTCGTTGCTGCAGGGGCTCTGCAGGGTCTTGCAGGGGCCCCCGGGGGGCCCCCCAGGGGGGCCCCCCAATTCTTCCAGGGGTCCCCCCCGTCGGCCTGTGGGGGCCCCCTGGGGGACTGCGGGTCCCCCCCAGCTGTGGAAGGGGACCCGCCGGGAGGGGCGTGGGGGCCCCCGG